TTTTACCAACGAATAGTAGGATTGATCATAACATTATAACTCCCCCACTGCCGAAAGGGCGAGCGTCTTTGGTGTGATGGGGATCGAACCCGCGACCCGCAGATTGCGAGTCGAGCGCCCTAACCACCTGGCTATGCCGGGCCAAAAAATAAAACTATCATTATTATTAATTTAATTAAAAAAAAAGAATTGTCTGAGAGCTTAGCTAAGTAAATATGTCTTTGTACCTTTGCGTACATAAACTATAGAAATTAACATATAAGATATTATTGCGATATGGTGACAAGACATCACACATTTCGCTTTCGTAAAAAATGTTTATTTCTTATCTATTCAATTTTTAAAACCTGTCTACAGAGGTGGACATTGCTTTAAATAATTTTCAAAACAAGAAAATAAGAACTAAATCTTAATGTAAGAGAATATTGATGTTTTTATCTATTTCGTTCGACTTTCTCTGAAACTGGATAAAATTATCTAGGTTTACATCACGACTCAGAGCCAACAAAATAATTTATTGTTTTAATGATATATTTTATAAGCCACAAATAAACACGTTTGCCAACATACCTGTTGCATATTGAAGCGATGTGTTTGAAATTTAAATATATTACGTAGCATGAAAAATTAAGCGGTTTTTCTCAGTTCAAGATATACTAAAGACCATTGAACCCTAAATGGAATATAGGCTTAATGTAGTGTATTTTCTAACATATCCATATTAATATCAACTTCCTGCAGTCGCTAAATGAATACACAAAAATTAAACATTCACAGTATAAATAACAAGTCAGCAGAAGTGAAATATTGAAATATTCTTCCAATAAAATGTCTGGAATAACAAGAGGCGATGAAGAAAAACTCTGATACTGATATACTGTTTTATTAGTACTATTACATCATTATGAGTATGTTGACAATGGTACAGAATAACATAAACTAAAGAAGCGATTAGTAACTTTTTTTCTTTAATTTCGCACAAAGCTACACGAGGGTTACCTGCGTTAGCTGTCCCTAATTTAGCAGTGAAAGACTAGAGGGAAGGCAGCTAGTCATCACCACCCACCGCCAACCTTTGGGCTACTGTTTTACTAATGATTAGTGGGATTGACCGTCACGTATAACGTACCCACGGCTGAAAGGGCGAGAATGTTTGGTGGGACGGAGATTCGATTGCGAGTCGAGCGCCCTAACCACCTGATCATGCCAGGCCAACTTAGTTGTGACTGACGGAGTAATCTCGCTGTAAATGGTATTGTAGGTAAGAAGTTCAGAATTTCACAGAGAAGCTTCTTTATTCATTTTGACCTATCAAAACCTAATAATTGAGATTAGTCCCTTTGAAATAATATTTGTATGTAGAAGTAGTTATGTTTAGTACATTGGGAAAACTGAACATTTAAAAATTGGCTGATCGTCGTAGTCAAATTTTTCTGTGTCAGAATAAGTTATTGGTGAAAAAAAAAGGACCTTAGAAACTACTTTGTTAATTAAGTTGTTGGTGAAAAAGGGCCTTAGAAACTATTTTGTTAACTAAGTTGTTGGTGAAAAAGGGCCTTAGAAACTATTTTGTTAACTAAGTTATTGGTGAAAAAGGGCCTTAGAAACTGCTTTGTTAACTTAATGGGTGATAAAAAAGGGCCTTAGAAACTGCTTTGTTAACTAAGTTAACATGTTTGTTTGTGATTTTAAATGTTTTATTGATATTTTTATACTTACGAAGAAAAAAACAAATCATTAAATGCCATTTTAACATTTTGTCATTTAATTTTCAAACTGTTCATTTGCTTTAATGTTCACTTTTCTTTACGCCAGTCATTTTGTTTTGTTTTTCTAACAACAACCAAGGAAAAAAAGAGCTAACGGGCTTCGTGCAATATATGTATATTGAAACTACGTCTACGGTAAATAAGGTTGAAATAACTCACACTTTAGGATATCAGTTCCGTTAACAAAATATGAAAAAAGGTTATATAAAAGAGAAGGAAATAAATACGTTTTGCACACTTTAACAATGGTATCCTAATATTAGCAAGAGAGAAAAAAAAGAAAGAGACTTACAATCCAATAAAAGCATAAATATGTGTGATGAGGATACGCGATTGGTTGGACTGATTTAAAATAAAAGATAGTTTTGCAAAAATAGGCAAAACCAAATTAGCTTTTTAATAATGTTTTATTTGTGTCCACCGCGGGGAATTGAACCCCGAATGTTTGTGTTATAAGTTTGTAAACTTATCGCTGCCCCATTGAGGATATTTGATTTACTAGATGGTTTAAATGCACTTTTTAGAATAAAATATTACGTTTATTTAAGATTTCCTGTTTTTATTTTACACAAAATTGTTATTTATTGTTGTGTGATTTGTATCACAGAAATGTTAAAATATATTATGATAAACCGAATGGAGTGGACACGTCACTTCAGAACAATTAAGATATTTTATATAGATAGGTTGTTGACAATGAATATAATAAAATGTGTCTTTCTCTCTTACTCTCTTGGTTTTGCTACTAAATTTTTAAAATGTAGATGATCCTACATTAATTCGCGTTGTATGTTTGTGAATTTGTTTGTCCACGAACTCCTCCTATGATTTTGGAGCTATCAGGATCAAATTTGACAGGCAGACTAGAGGTAGCTCTGGGGAGGGGGTTCTTATTTGTATGCTGCCCCCACAACCAAGGGGGACGGCTAAAACGCGTCCTGAAGACCACCCAGGCATGAAGTGGTGTAAAGGTATGTGTTTGGGGTTGCTGAACACGAATCTGGCACCAGATTATGTGTCCTTGCCTTCCGGAGGCTCCATGGGCTTATATTCTAACTCACAAGATAGCGGATCAAATGTGGAGCACATGCTTATATACCACGAGGTGTTGTCCCAACGAGGTTTATTTTCGGGTACAGACATTTCTTGGGGTAGCTATAGAAGTAATTGAGCTTGATCGGTACACCGGGGCCTTTTGTGTATCATGTTGGGACCTTTTGACCACGCAGCAGAGTACGGGTATTTTTATACTAGTATGAAGAAAGTGAGAAATAATTTTAGAAAACAAATTAGTGTGAAACTGGGTAGACATAAACAACTTGCATAATTCGGCTTTGGTCACACTGAAAATGAAAAATAACAAACCTGGCTCATATGTATTTGTAATTATATTTTCCTTACCAAAACGTGAATTTTATAAAGAAAAGATGACGTAGAGGCGACCCAATGTATTGTTACGTGTCCGTTCGTTAGCTAATTTTCCGTAAATTCGTTCCGACGAAACTTTAGCGACACAAGTCCTGTCTTAAATAAAACTGGTTTATTCTTTCCGAATACAACTTTACGATACACTTAATTTCAACAGTCGCTCTATAACAAACACTATATAACTCACGTCTCACGAGGGCAACAATATTCTGTCCGCATACATTCAATTACTCATTACCTGTTGTCCCGTCACGTTGTGAACGTCTTATATATACAAGACTTCTTGAAGGAACAGGATATTTCTAGAAAGAGGTGGCGTGATACTAGTCACGTGACCCCGCTGACGCAACAGTATTCTTTGGATAATCATTCAAATACGTAAACTATTTAGATTATAGGTGGTGAGTAAAGGACTACATCAAAACCAAAGTTGTCTCATAGTTAAAGTGGCTTCTTTCTCATTTCTAATGGCAAAGCCTGGACGTTTGATACTTCGACCTTTCTAATAAGGTCGGCTTTCGCTTTGCGTTCCTTGCCTCGACGTTATAACCTCGCCCCCAGTGGCACAGTGGTATGTCTGCAGACTTACAACGCTAGAATCCGGGTTTCGATACCCGCGGTGGGCAGAGCATAGACAGCCCATTGTGTAGCTTTGTGCTTAATTACAAACAAACAAACATAACTTCTACAATCATATCAATGGTCCTCCAGTATTTATCTTAATCGTTAGGCCTGTAAACCAAAAACAAATATATATGTGTATGTATGTATACATATATGGTCATATAAATATATATGTACATTTATATTTATAATTTGCATACTTTAAACGCTGGTTTGATAAAAATCTTTCACGATCGGGGCGAAAGTGGATACTAATATCCCTGAACACTCTAGTTGAAGAAAGTATCTTTCCTTTTAAAACTAAACACCTGCCACGAATAGAATTTAAAAAGTTAAAGTGGCTTTGCGCCCATACTCCATAACAAGGTATGTATGTGTTTTGTTTGTTTTTAAAACGTCATGTTTAGAGTAACGACTGAGAAATTTCTTGAGTGAATTGTAAGAAGCTTGGAACTTAACTGCTTGTTAATAACATTTGAGATAATCTTTGTTATTTGCGAACTGTAGAGATCAAACTAATAAGTTTTTGTCCGACGATTCCAAAATATCTGAGAAAAGAGAGTAGACATTTTCTTCGGAAATCAGATTCTTTTGTTTTTAAATTTCGTGCAAAGCTACACGAGGGCTATCTGCGTTAGCCGTCCCTAATTTAGCAGTGTAAGACTAGAGGGAAGGCAGCTAGTCATCACCACTCACCGCCAACTCTTGGGCTACTCTTTTACCAACGAATAGTGGGATTGACCGTCACATTATAACGCCCCCACGGCTGAAAGGGCGAGCATGTTTGGTGTGACAGGGATTCGAACCTGCGACCCTCAGATTGCGAGTCGAGTGCCTTAACCACCTGGCCATGCCGGGCCCGGAAATCAGAAACTTCAGAGAAAATGATATATTGATTTTGAAGGAGCAAGAAATAGGATAATGATCTTTTCCTATTTCATTTAGAGTTCGAAACAAATGGGCTAAAGCTAGATTACGTCTTTTTAACCTTCTATTTTTGCGTCAGTTGAGTGATATATATTTTTAACAACGGGAAGTAAAACAAACCACTTGTCCAACGGAGCGACATTTCTAAGTAATGTGCTTGTGTATTTGTTCCATATCAACCGTGAGTAATTAATGTCAGAAAGTGAAGACACGTATATGAAATAAATGAAAGGGAAACCGGGAAGAGTAACAGTAGGAATAAGGTGTTCATTAGAAAAGACATTTTAGATTACGATATTTACGAAAAAGACGAGCTATCTTTTTATATGACTCAGGTATTTTGATGGATAAAACGTATCATAACCTGGCAACTTAAAAGGGGGAGAATTGTTAAGCAGATATTATTTCCTGCTAATGATGTCAGCGTTGGAAGATTTGCATAGATGATATAACTCCCTTTTCTATCACGCCTGTCACTGTTCAATTGAGCCTATATAAACATCATAACGAAATAAGTGAATATTTAAATAGTCGATAATATAAAGTTGTCATAGGCACGTGCATAACAACATTGTACATTCGACTTCCGGTAATTTTCACTTTGTATAATATAGCTTTTGTCAGTTATATTTATCAAAATGACTACAAACTAGCAAACTATAAATACAATTATTTAAATTTTATCGCTGAAAAATTGAATATGAATCATTTCCGTGACAACTTAAATCTATGTTATCAAACATGTTGCATTTTTATTCCATGAAGTAATCAAGGACAGAAAAAAAACACTCAAGTGAGACTGACGTCCTATGCGCCGGAGTGCAGTGTATAATAACCATTGCCGTGTCATTCGTAGACGTCAGCGTTTTTGTGTGGCTGGTATATAGTAGGACGTGGAGATTCCTGAGAGTGATTTTATCTTGGGATTTTAATACGTTGCGTTAAAGGTATGTATATATTAATGACGATATTTTATTGAACGAAAACAAAACAACTATTTTAAATCTTAAAATTGTAATTTAAGAATTTTTGTGGATAAGTTATCATATACATTTATTTAAGCAGTGATAATGTTATTGTAAATATAAATTGTAATGAAATGCAACTTAAATTATTTGTACTGTTAGTGTTAGTGTATTATTAACACTGATAGTGTTACTGTGCTTCAGTTACCCTAATTAATGTCAGTATTATTACACTCGTAAATGTTGACAGTTCACCAGATTAGCATAGCCGAATATGAGAAGTAGAAGTTTGTTGTGGATAGTCACTCATCAGATGATTCAGAAATTCTGTTTGATAACATGATTTAATAGATGTATAAGTATTTTAAAAAATGTGTTAACTGTTATTGTGTATCACATATATTAATACTGTACCTTTTAGCATTTACGTTCATTTAATCATATTTACTACTTAGAGTGTAATTGTGATATTGTAAATTGTGTAATAACTAATAAAGATCTACATATTTGAATATAGAAAATCAATTTATAATAACTAAATAAACATGCTGTTTGGCTTGATTGCATAAGCTATGAAAATTAATTTATTCTAATCACTTGTGAGATCATAATGAGTATGTTATTTTATTTTTAGTCTTATCATAAACTAAATGATAATTCATTACTTCAGTACACCCCTTTCTACTGTATGTTAACTCTTTATTCAAACATATAGATTATAAACAGAAAAACTGATGTTTTCTATTTAGATTATTTTGTTATTTTATAGTTTTTTAGACTCCATTCATACGTATTTAATCAATCTTGCTTTTGATATGAGAGGAACATCAGTGTTATAGTAAAAAGATGATTTATATCTTGACTATTACAAAAAGCCTCAAAACTTGACCAAGTATTTAGCCAACAGAATCCAAAAAGTAACAATACTTTTATGTGTTAAACTAACATTAAATGCAATATGCCAAGTTTTGGGTTCTTTCTACCTTAAAGAGGGAAATTGACTTGCAAGAAAACATTTAGTATAGGATAACAGCCATTACCTGATCTTTGTCAATTAGATTATGACCAGTGCCTGAATGCATTAGATTTATTTTCTTTGTCACATACAAGTACACAGAAGTGATCTTATTAAAGTTTTTAAAATTTTAAGGGACTTGAATAAATTGAAAGATACAGAATTATCTAAATTAATGATTGTTAGGACTAGAAGTTACCATTGGAAAATTGAATCCTAGTAGATTGAATATTTGATATTTTTGTATTACTAATCAGTGTTTTAATAATAGAATACTTTACCTTTTGAAGCTCTGACTGACACAATTTAAAAATTGCAATTGATTCATTTTTTGAAAGTAATCAATGGCCATGGGTAAAATCATATTTTGTACTGAAGGCCATGTTATGGCTAGTATTTCTTTTTTTCATAAAAAAGATTCAAGAATTCAAGTGCAAAAAGAGTATTGATATATTGGGAAGCATGTATAGGAAGTGAAAAGTTTAAAGGCTAAGAAACTTATTCTACTGGAATTTTAAAAAAATGAAAAGGACTTGAGTTATCTTAAATTATTTAGGGCCTTAAATTAGTGGAGTGATCAAAATAATAGTAAGAATTTAAGTATTAAGGGAAATATAAACTAAGGTCTAAGTTTTTTTATTAGTTTGCTTGATGTGTGTGTGTGTGTGTTGATAGAATATATTATTTTTTTAATGTATAATTTAGATAAGTATGAATTTGAAGGACTACATTTAATTTGAGTTGATCATAGTGGCTGTTTGCTGTGTAAAGTAACCTTGGTGGGCTAATTGTTTTTCTGACACCTTGCTCAACTTTTGCTTTTTATAATTACAAAGGTTTGGTAAGTAGTGGTGCTGCATTGTTCAAATACTTATCTCACTGTAAAATGGTTTCCTGTGATTTGTTGAATTTGAACTATATGAGTCATATGATCTTCATCGTAGCAGAATACTTCTATTGTAGTTAATTTGTTTTGCTTCTACATTACTAGCTAATAACGTCAGTTCAGGCTTCATTATTAGTGACTCATGATAACCATCTTACAATAATGTTTTTTTTTAAGAGTTTTTAGAAATAATGGGAATTTGAGGATAAAGGGGGGAAATGGAAGCTGCTTAACAATATTTCAGTGGTTTTTGATAATTTGTTATTAGCTACATTACTAGCTAATAACATCAGTTCAGGCTTCATTATTAGTGACTCGTGATAACCATCTTACAATAATGTTTTTTTTAGTTTTTAGAAATAATGGGAATTTGAGGATGAAGGGGGAAATGGAAGCTGCTTAACAATATTTTGATGGTTTTGGATAATTTGTTTTATACGTTAATGTTATTACATTATTCAGTGTTGCAGGCTTTTGTTTTATATAGCTGGAATGGTGAAGTTCTTAAATTGAAATCTCATAAAATAAAAATTGATCCCATTAGATGAAATATTTCTTGATTTTGGTCACTTGAATGTATTTGCTTTACTTTAATGTATGTTTGATATAAGATATATAAATATCTATCATACTATCCACAATATGTTTATGTACGAGTCTAAGAAAAGTATTTTTTTTAATTACATGAGACTCTTATACTTAAAATATACGTTTCAGTACCTTGATTGGCTAAGTTACTATAACAATTACTTGTTGTACCTTAGTAACACAAATATATAAATTATATGTACTATATATTAAATCAAAACCCTTAAAATTATAGTTCCAGCTATTTAAGAAATTCTTGTTTCTCAATTCATATGATTTATTTGTCTATGACAGAATGCATATTAATATTGTAGCATCACATGAAACATTTTTGATCTACTAATTTTGTATGATTTACAATGTATACAAACAATCTAGAACTTTGTAAACATGAATCTGTATGGTTCAGAATTCGTCCTTTTCAATGTGAAGAATGGAGGTCAGTACACCATCATTGAGTAAAGGTTATATGTAGGTGTTCTCGTGTTGTAAGTGTCTTAATTGTTAACTTATAGTAATTGTTTGTTCCAGTGCACTAAAATCAAGAAAAATTGATGGGGACATGCCAGTCACTTCTTAAAGGCAACAGGTTTGTATTACAAAGCCATACACGTATAGCAGAAGATGGTTGAGCACGAATGGCAAACTTTCACAGGGGTGTGGAATTCATGGCATCCATTCCCAGGACAAAAAGTTTTTACATTTATACTTTGCCTTTTGGACAAGTAGTTTTTTTTTTCACTTTATTTACGCTGTTGTTAGAAAAATGTTTTAGATGCTTAGGGAGCCACATTTGTTTATGAAAATTCTGAACAGCAGAAATCTAGCAAGTACACATAAACATTTAAGAATGTGTACTTTTAAACCAAAACTGTTTGTACACAAATTTACATATGTCTTTACTCTCCTCTCCGCGCACACACACACACACACACACACACACACACACACACACACACACACACACACACACAC